ATAAGAAAGTGACTTTTTTCTTATTTTACTCGAAAAGATAGGCTACATGCATGGTACATTTTTTTTTTAATTTTTAAATTACATTCATAGTAGCATTAATTACCTTTGGATATTTCACTGAAGCTTGTTTAAACTTTATCGGTCGAGTCATTTAACTAATGATAACAGGAAGAAACTCATAAAAATTGTGTAGAAATGTTGGAACAACAAAATCAATTTCTTTTCTTTTTTAGTTTGTATATCTACTTTTTTTCCCCCAAAATATAGATAAATATAACATGAAAATTTTGAAAATTTTCATATAAAACTTTTGTTTTTTAATTAAAAATTTTCGAAAATAAAAATAAGAATATGTTTGTTTTGTTTCAATAAAAAATAAAATAAAATAAAAACAAGAAACATGAATCTTACTCAAAACTTAAAAGCGCTCCAAATATCAACTTTAATTTTCGCTACTGATTTTTTATTTTCAAGTCTTCAAGCAGAAGTAAAGGACTGATTAAATGAAAATAAAGAACTGACGAATGAGTGATTAAAAGTTTAAAACGTTTTTCTTAGTGCGGCGGCTTGGGGAAATTTTCTTGTCGAATTTCAATTCATGATCGTCAAAAGTGATGGGCGAGGAATTCGGAATAATCGGGCATTGCATTCGTGGAAAATACTTGATCTCGACACCAATCACGTTTCATCCAAAGTCCACCGTGTAGACATTCATACACTGCTCTATCATAATTCTCACTCGATGACATCCAGGACGACGCTACTTGTTTTGAATTTTTACCAATTTTATGGACAAGAAAAAATTTTAGTTTCTCTGATTTGAATCTCAGAAATGTGAATTGTCTTTTAAAATTTGAAATTTTCTCATCTAAGGAATTCAAACAAAAAAAGAGATCCGGGGTTTAGATATAAGTACATGAGATTCAAGGTACGTTATAAAACTCTTGTTTTTACTATGTTTCATATAAATCGATTTTGACTTAAGCACCAAAGTGTATACACACCACGCCGGTGTATAATTTTTCTATTTTGCAGTTTTCGTCTAATAATTTTGATAGGTCAAATTTACGTATTAACAACCAATTTTCTTATAAAAAATTATTTTTTTGTTGATATATTTCTATTTCATTTGGTAGATAAATGGATCTCACTAAAATTAATTTGACTAACTAGCTAGTATCGGTGCAGTGGTCAGAAATCATTTCTTTTTTCTTTTTGTTAGAAATCATTTATTAACCTTTGCGTTTAACTTAATTTCAAAAATTTTATTCCATTGAGCATTTTTATGGGTGGGGTTTGGGGTTTTTTTTTTTTTTTCCATGGACAAGCAAATTGGTGTTTATATAGCATAATTTAATTTTTAGATATCTTATGGTCATTGCCTTATTTTTTGTTTTCAGATTTCAAAAGTGTTTCTGAAAATAAGTGGAAAAATAAATAAATAAAGCAAAGATATATGTTAAATTATAAAGTAATTTCTATCCAAACGAGTATAATTCAACGGTAATTAAAGAGGTTATAAGTTCGATTCCCACCCCACATGGTACTAATAAAAATTATAAAATAATTTCTAATTCTATAACCTTAGTTTTTTCAAAAACATAAAATTGAATAAAACCATTACCAAACCAAAGTTAGAGATTAATTTCTTTTCCACAAAAAATAATTAGAGAGAGAGAGAGAGAGAGAGAGAGAGAGAGAGAGAGAGAGAGAGTATGATTACTTTAGTGAAAAATATTGTACAATTAGTCTATTGTGAATAATGGGAAATTGACTTAGCATGCATATATATATCTAAAGGACATTGGTAGTATTATAAGGGGCTTTGGAGGATGATATATCAAAAACAGCACCCCATTTGTTTTTTAGCTTCGTGACACCAGATATGTATAGTAGACGAGAAAATCACCCGTTTAATCGAGCACGGTGTTATCAACGACAAATTTTAGTACTACTCTCATAAATCAATCTATATATATTTTCCAATTTTAAACTTTAATCTAATCTATCTCTAAGCCAAGCCGAGCATATAGCTTAAGTGGTATAGCCACCTACCTCATGTATAAAATTTATATTTCAAGGGCGGTGTGACGTTCTTATATATTTGTTGGTTTCAATCTTATATAACTTTTATTTTGTACTTAGTATGTTTTGGTCCCTTAAATTTTTAGTTTTTTTTT